ATCGAAACAGGGTTATAATATTGACTTTTACTACGCTAAAAAATATAAATAAAAATATCTCACGTTGTTTAGAAATTATGAGCTTTTAATTGCAACCTAAAGAGCTTTGGGGAAATTATGACCATTGTTCGATTATTGAGATAATCATTCATATTATTGTTTTCATACTATTGTAAAAAAGATTAAAATGTTGATGAGCCATTAAGGTAAAAGACCCAGTTATTGACCCTGGCCCAGTTTCTGACCTTTTCAACTTTTTTTGGAATTAATTAAAAAACTATACATTTAATGTGAAAATAAATTTTTTCTTAATTGACAGTAATTTATTCTATGCCTCATTAATGTCAATTAAAAAAATATAAAAAATATTAACTAAATAAAAAAATTTTTTAAACCAAAAGTGACTGTGGATGCCATTTTTTAGCTTTAGTCTAAACAGTTTATGTAAGGAGCTACGACAATTGAGTTCGTGCACTAATTATGATGTAAGACGAAAATCTAACTAAAAATATACAAATAAGTCAATAATTAATTAAAATTTATTTTAAAATATTTATAAAACATATTAAATTTAGTTTTATTACTGAAATTTGAGGGTCAATAACTATGGTTCAATTTTAAGTGTATGTCACAGTTGTTGACCCTGCAATTCTAACCTTCTAAAAGCTAGGTTATCTGTCACATGTTTTTAGTCACTTGTTCATTAAATGTAAAAATAATAATATTTATTGTTATCTTATATTTTTTTTACTATTTTTCGTAGTAAAGTGATAAATTTACATTTAATATTCATTGGTATAAATGAAAGATTGTATTTAAATCTTGTAAATACATCTTTTAAGTGATAAAATTATTAATAAAAAAATGTCAGTTTTATCAACGCTTAAATTATGACTGTTTTAGTTTATAATTTACTAATATTTTTATTATTATACAATTATACAATTACAATTAATTAAATGAAAATTAGAAGAAGAAAAAGAATTGAAAAAAGCTGAAAGGTCCAAAAATAAAGCCATCAAGGAGGCAGAAAAAATAATTAAAGAAGAAAAACTTGAAGAAAAAAAGAAACAAAAAGCTCTTAAAATAAAAAAAAAGTCCAAGTAATTTAAATAATTAATTTTAATTTTTTTGTTTGTGTAATATGTTATAACAAGACTTGAACTATTTATACGTTAAATTTTAACAAACTGTACATTTTTAGAATAACTATTTAATTTATTTATTTTAATAATAATTTCAGTTTATTTAAAATTAGTAAGCACTTCATAACCTAATCATGATCAAATTTGAGGGTCAGAAATTGGGCTACGGTCAGGGTCAGAAACTGCCACACGATGAATTCTGAGGGTCAGAAACTGGAGCTCTTAATGTCAATTTTTAAAACGTCAATTTAAAAGATAAATTTAGTTCAAATAATTTTTGTATGCACATTACTTTATTTTAAAAATCCTAAACTAATAGATAAAATTATAATTTTCTTCATTAAGTTAAGTTTTATATTAATTATTATAGTTTAACTTCCACCGTCACTCTAAAAAGGTCAGAAACTGGGCCCCTTACCTTACTCAGATTTACAAAAAAATATATATTTTAATATTGTTTTAATACCCTTGTTTATGGTTACATATACGATGATAATTTCAAAATTCAAGGTTTATTTAAACTTATTATGAGAACGGTTGCATCCAGATAATATTGACCCCATAAAGAAAAATATATGTTTAAAATTATACACACACACATATATATATATATATATATACATATATATATATATACATTTATTATGCATCTTATCTGCTAGATAACAAAATAGCTACTTAGAAACTATCCCATAAACTTTACGACTTTAGGGATTGTAGGGCTAATTCATATGTCCCTCTCAAACACAAGTGACTACATATAGGATATACTATATATATATATATATATATATATATATATATATATATATATATACATAGGCGGTTATGTTAGGCAGCTTGTAAAATGGTACATTTGCCTCAGTTATGTTTGTGGGTCATAAAGGCTTGTACCCATAAAACGCATACATACTTGCAAATATATATATATATATATATATATATATAAAGAAGAATAAATATGTAGTAAAATATTTAATCACATTTTGTAACAGGTGTTTTCATAATTACAATGTATTGAATCTTCTGAAACTTCTACTATGATCATAAATTATATAACTCTGTTTAGCTATGTGGTATTATTTATAAGTTTATTAGTGGCAAGAAAGTAATTATAGAACAATAACTGTCGAAAACTTGACATGTGTTCAGAACTAAAATACAAGCTCTCGAAACCAGATGAACATAATTGGCAGTAAGCCTATAAAACGATTATAATTTGATATTGATTGAATATAAATACATTATATATTTCTAAAATATCATGGAGTATAAATACGAACTTTATTATTAAGTGTGATAAAGTGATTATCAATTATGATTTGCAAAATGGGATTACATTTTGTTTATTATTAACTTCGTTTACCATTGATTCCGGCAGTCAAAAATTCAAATATAAATGACAAGTCACCTACGGCACTGGACTGAAAAGATGCCATATCAATAATAAATGAATATACAAAATACACATTATCCCAGTTCCTACATTCGGCTATCGTATAAAAACACGCCAATAAAATTATATCCGTACTCTATATTTATTACATCATTGAATGGTATAATACTCAATGATTATATATATATATATATATATATATATATATATATATATATGTATGAAATCTTATATTCAATATCTCCAAAATTTACAAATAATTAAATTCTGAAATGATCATTATTATTAAAATATTTTCAAATCATATTTTTGAAAAAAAAGACAATAAAAATACAATAAAAGTTTCTAAAGAATACGTATTCATGTGCATGGTAAAAGCTGTTACTAAAAAATTATGCATTATATAGTATCAATAAATTTCCACTTACAATAAATAATTGCCAGCTCGTTCTTGAAATATTTTGTACAAGATCGTCTTAAAAATACGACGTAAATCATTGGAAGAAAACCAAAAAATTTATTTTAAATATAAATCATGAAAAACTGTTTTTTAATTATGAATTCAATAACGAGCTTTATGGATAAGAACAAAAAGTTATTTTTAATTACTTATTAAAGTTTTCTTAGAAAATCATTTTACGCTTTCTAAAGTGGGTAAATCTCCGCATTTTAAATTTTTGCCTTAAAATGGATTTCATTGCTAATCTAAAACATTTTTTCACAGTAGGTACTGGCTATATTATTCAAAGAGAGATTGATCTCATTAAAATAATCACAATATTAATTTCATATACAAACAATCAATTTCTGCCAATACTCAATTGTAATAATCATTCAACTTCAATCAAATAATTCATCAATCATTTTCACAAAGAGGATTTAGCAGTATGATATCATTTGTCTACTAATTAGATCACACAAGTTGCGTAGAAACAGATTTGCAGATACATAGCAAATATAATAATGAGTAGTGTAGGCACTATATGTAGGATGAATTGAGACGATAAAACTCGGAACTAGCTGTAAGTGGAATTCTGTCTTAAGGCAAATTGCTGGAACTTTCCGTATCGCAATTCAAAATTCGAGTAGTTAAAAATAATCAATAAAAGTTGCTCAATGATTTGAAACTTTTAATAAAATTTCAAACCATATTAAATCATTCTATCTTAAATCATTTATTTTGAAATATTTTGGAAATTCTGAACTTTTTTTCAAAGCAATAGTACTGCTTTAACTGCATAAAGACCAAATATCGAAGCGCGTAAGCGCCGCGTCACCGTTTAACGCGTAAACATTGATACGGAACTCATAGGAATGTGAACAAAATTTATACTTATTGTTAAAATCTCTAGAAAACATTAGATAAATTGATAGCATTTTTTTTTATTTTTTTACCGCTAGACCTGCCTTCATGAAAATTTGATCAATTCTTCATCTTGTCAATACAAGTGAAATGTTTTTTGAATTATTCAAATCGGACGCTCCGTTCTCTTAAAAACTGAGTTACCGTTTTTGGCACTTTTTACCCCATATCTTCGGAACGGCTAGACCTGCCTTCACCAAAAACTAATCAGAACGTCTTCTTATTAATACGAATCGAATATTTTTTGAATTATTCAAATCGCTTTATCCGTGTTCCCAAAATCGTCGATGAAAATTTGTATCCGCACACACACACATACACGCACTTACACACACACACATACATCCATTTTTCCAAGGTATGCCAAAATGTTCAGAAACCTCTGGAACGTAAAGATATTTAAACATTTTCATTTTCGATTTTTTGCGATTACTATAACTTGCTCTACGGGAAGTTAATAATTGTTTTAAAATAACTTTTCAGTATAACAGTAAAAATAGTTATGTTATTTTTTCAATAATCCTGCCAAATAATTGACATGTTTGCCCCATCATTCCAAATATATATAATTTAATATAGTTAAATCATTTTTCGTTGGCCTCTAATATTTTAGGATGTTGTGCAAGACACCCATGGACTACTCAATATACATTTTTCGAAAAGTTCTTCAATTATTAAAACCGGTTCAGAATTTTTGACAAAACTGTTGACGAAATATTATGCACTTTAATTTTAATATCACACACACTCATACTCATTTCAACCATGGTTTTAAACAATTCAGAAAATTTGAAACATCAAAAAAACGTTTTTTTTTTTGCAAAACAAAACTCTTCAAGGAAGATAATAAATATTTTAACCAATCTTCAAATCCTTATATAAAGTATACAGGAAATATTCATCACAAAATTAAAAGTAATGTTGATCGCAATGTTTTAAATTTGTATTTTAATAGAAATAGATCGATTTTCTCAGTGACACTTCGTAATTCAATAATTTAAAATAATTTCAGAATTAAAGACAACTCATCAATCACTTTACTAATCAAATTAGTAGAATTGATGGAAATTGAATCTAATTAAAATATATCACTCACCAAGTTCAGCAAATATACGTTCGTGACAGTCCTCATCCTTTTGTTCCTTGCCAGGGTCAGAAGTACTAGCAAATTTCCAGAAAAACTCAGTAAAAATATAATAGAATACAAAGGAACTATGACATGTTTCTCCATTGCACTAAATCCTCCAGAAGTTTTAACTGATGCACTATTATTTTTAGAAGAAAAATTTAAAAGACTTGGGAATTCGATAATGGGACCATCGATACTGTCATTATAGAATAAAATTGAAAAGTTATGATAAAACTGTTCCATATTGTGATATTTAATTTATATTGCACACAGAAACTCTAAATTCAGTTTTCACTTTTCTATGAATAGTAAGAAGTTGTAAATTTGAAAGTCTGAATTGTTGGACTTTAGTTCTTCGAACACCACCTGAGACCTGAAAATGAATAGTAAATGTAAATATATTCAGATATAAATATATGTATTATTTAGGCACAATCACACTCAATTTACATATGCCTAATATATAGCAATATTATTTCAAAATATTCCAAATATGTGTTATGTAATTTTTATGTCCGTAATAAGATATACTTAATGTTAAAAAATTATGATGAATATTTTGGAAAAGTTTCCCAAAAGTATAGTAAAGGTAAAATAAATGTTAATAGATAATTACATACGCATGTAAATATTTGTTTTTACTTAATGTTCTAGATATAATAAATATTTTAATAAAGTCCATTCTTGACACATTAGAATTAGTTTAAATATATATAAAATGGGAATAACTTAAATATAACAAAGAATAAAATAAACTAAACGAAAAAGATAAAAGCTATATTATTATTGTTAGTTTTAAGAACCACCTCAATTGCGATTTTATCATATTGCAAATTTATGCAAACCGTTCTTTTTACCATTTAAATTTATTTTGATTACAAAGATACGTCTTTTCGATAAAAGTTTCAAATGAAAATAAAAGCTCTCATTTAAAATGACATGAGTGGATTTTTACATCGGGCTATTGAAAGAAAAACAAAAGCATAGCATTAACGCTGATTGCTTTTCGGGTACACAAGAGCTATTAATGATACCCTATACACTTTTTAGTACATTACGAATATATATATATATATATATATATATATATATATATATATAGAATTTGTCAGTATGACGAAATTAATTTATATAACCAATTTCTAAGTTTCTTTTTTTTTACAGAAAAGAAAATTTTTTCATTCATATATATTATATTCCTTTCGTCAATAATTTTGAAGTATTTGGAATTAAACAAAAATTGAATACTTTCTTAAAATTAAAATAAACAACCCCTAAATATCATAATTGATAATACTTTGACCATAGGAGTGTGTCCTTGCGTGAATATGGAACAACTTCCAGAAAGCTGTTCAAAAATACTAAAACTATATATATATATATATATATATATATTATATTATATATATATATGTATATATATATATATATATATATATATATCTAATCGGGTATTGAAATAGTACGTGCTCTGTTGCTAATGAAGGTACGAGGTATTGACTTAAATAGAAGCTTTTCATTGTAATCAACGCGATATATATATATATATATATATATGTGTGTGTATATATATATATATATATATATATATATATATATTACGTATATATCAAAATAATGATATATTTGTATACATAACGTGTCTAAATGCTTTATTTTTGTATGTAGCACGCACCACCCTTAATATCTATATATATATCTATATATATATATATATATATATATATATATATATGTGTGTGTGTATATATATTGAATTGTAATTGGTTGGTTGTTAGGATTACTTCTGAGATTATGGGAGGTTACTTGGTAGCTGGAGCTGAGCGGTTGATAATATAAAACACTGGTTGTTGGTTGATCTTGATATTTTATTGTTTACTATTTTTACAATTAAATAATTTGTTGATAACCTTTTGGTTATCAATAATCAGAGACTACATTTTTCAACAATCTAAACAGTAAGCCTGACTTGACTCCTGACTTCTGGCTTGAGTCCTCACTTCTGACTGACTAACTAAATCTTAACTACTTCTTTATATACTAAATAATTGAATACAAAACGTGATTCCAAAATCTAACAGCAAGGCCGGAAGAACTTCGGAAAACCTTCAAATAGCACGTAGTGCTCTGACAAAAACAATAAATAACAAATTATATTTGTGATTACAGAATAACCTCCCCCTTCAAAGGTTTTTCGTCCTCGGAAAACACTAAAAAGAAAAAAAATTGATAAGATTGAAAAAAATGAGTTCCATCTCTTCCTCCGCCCTTAAGAAAACTTTTGTCCTCAAAAGTGTTATTTCTGTTAGATTTCGTTTACAAACAATTAGACTCTAAAAAGAAAACCATTAAAACATTTCATAATAACTTGAATTAATTAAAAAAAATTGCATAAAATTGCATATTCTTTTTACTTACAGTGTATTATTTTTAACTTGTATATGACCTAATAGCATCTATACCTATAAAATTTAACTTAATCAGCAATCAACTGCAATTAATGGTCTTCGATTATGCAAAAACATTACTGAAATGTAATAAGTTATTTATAGAAGGTAAATCAAGACAATGAAGAATAAAGAAGTTAATAAAATAATTGGAAATAAAATATTAAAAAAAATTATTTACTCATAAAAATTGAAAAAAAAAATTATATCTGCAAACAACACTGTTACAAAATTACCGTGCTCCCAAAATTTTGCTTACAAATCAAAATTGGAGAGAATTTGCATTGAAACTTGATAACCTGCATAATGTTTATGTTTACTAAACAATACGAGCTGTTCTGTTTATTATTGCCTTGACTTTAGTTGACCTCGTATTTCTTTCGGTATTTATAATTATATAATTTTTGCAATCGGGGTAATGTCATAGATTTCAATTTGTCCGTCTTCTTATGATGAGTTGACGACGATACCAACTTTTTGCTGCTCGGACTTTGTAAATTTGCAAATTCTTCATTTTTAATTAAATTTATATTCTTGTCATTGAACACGTCTATTGTGGCTGATAAATCATTTTTTGATAGTTTCCATTGTGGCGGTATTTTTCTTATAACATGTATTTTGTGCTCCTTGACCTCTTGTATACTTTTTTCTATAATTTTGTCGTTAATACGACTTCTTTTAATATACTTCTTCTTCTTCTTTTTCTTTTTTGTTTCATTGGAAGCAGTTTTTATTTCTTCTTCATTAATTATTTTGATATCTTCTTGTTTGTTGTATATTTCTTCCATTTCTGGGACCGCATCTTGGATTTCTTCAAATTCAGCCATTCGTATGTTCAAATTTTCTTCATCTTCATCTTCATCTAATATTTCTGCAGTAATTGTCGTCAATTCTTCGGTTTCAGTGTTTTGAGTCAAATTTTCGACTGTGTATTCTTCGGATTCTTCTTCAGTAGATTTGAATGTGTTGTCTATGCCGTCATTTTTTCTTGTATTTTCTAAAATCATAGTATTTCCATAGTTCAAAGCATCGTAGCTATCGTTGTGTTCGCCTTGGTTAATATCTTCATAAATTCCATTTTGTCTGAAACTAGTTTTTTCTTCATATATCGATTTTTGGCGAATTTTTTCACATTTTGAAATGTGGTGTCCTCTTTTCCTGCAATATCTACACACAACGTAGCGGTTATATTGTTTGCCATAGGTGATATTTAAATACTTCTCCTCTTTGATGGCAATATTCTTAGCTTCCTCAAGATTTTTTGGTTTGGCTCCTTTAACAATAGTTTTTATTTCCAACTGGAGGCCTTCAATGAAAACAGCTAGAGCTAAATCGCAATATGAGGCATAAATTGTTTCCTTTTTGAAAAATAACATTCAATATAAATTAACATTAGCAGATCATCAATTCTCTCAGCAAATTTCTCCGTTGGTTCCTTATTTCTTCTTTTCACTGTAGCTAATTCATAATGCAAATCTGTAATTGATCGGGAATCTTTGAATTTATTAATTAAAATTGGTTTAATATCTTCCATAACTTATAATCAGACCACCTTATGCAATTAAATGCTGATCCATATAATCTACTAAGAGCAATTTTAGATATTATTTCATATGTTTCAAAATTAACGTCTTCTAAAATTGAATCTACTATGCTTACATATCTAAAGAGATTATATGAATTACCATCAAATTGAGGTATACTTTCAACAGCTGCCTTGATTCTGATTTCTCTTATTGCCTCACTATACTCTACATCTTGCATAAATCCTGAAGAAATGGGTTCCATCTCGAGAGAGTGATGTTGTCCAATTTGCTTATTGTGAATCCGATGAGTCAATGTCCAATCCTGTCGTAGTTTCTGTTGTTGTTCCAAAATTGTTCTCTTCGGTAGGCGCCACCATCCCCCAAGTTGTGCTGCGAAAGATCCTCCGGGTTACCAAGCTGTGGCGGCTATTTAACTCGATGTCCCCAGATGAAAATTCTTCAGCACTGCGAGGGAAAATTTCCGCTAAGCCACCATGAATTGTAATTGGTTGGTTGTTAGGATTACTTCTGAGATTATGGGAGGTTGTTTGGTAGCTGGAGCTGAGCGGTTGATAATATAAAACACTGGTTGTTGGTTGATCTTGATATTTTATTGTTTACTATTTTTACAATTAAATAATTTGTTGATAACCTTTTGGTTATCAATAATCAGAGACTACATTTTTCAACAATCTAAACAGTAAGCCTGACTTGACTCCTGACTTCTGGCTTGAGTCCTCACTTTTGACTGACTAACTAAATCTTAACTACTTCTTTATATACTAAATAATTGAATACAAAACGTGATTCCAAAATCTAACAGCAAGGCCGGAAGAACTTCGGAAAACCTTCAAATAGCACGTAGTGCTCTGACAAAAACAATAAATAACAAATTATATTTGTGATTACAGAATAATATATATATGTGTGTATATATATATATATTACGTATACATATACTATATATATATATATATATATATATATATATATATATATTACGTATATATCAAAATACTTAATGATATATTTGTATACATAACGTGTCTAAATGCTTTATTTTTGTATGTAGCACGCACCACCCTTAATATCTTAGTATACGAAACCGCTTTTTCTAAATTCAATCACTTTCCTTTCTCAGAAGTTTTCATTGATCATTTCGGTTCATTTGGTTCTTATGTATACACAAACGTTCCTATACCTTACACAAATAAATATATCTATACGTTTATAGATATACTATTGCCTGGGTTTGTTCTGTAAGGTTTTGAAATCCTTGTATATAGAAAGTTGTTTCCTTCCGTAACGCAATTAAAGTGAAAAGATAAATCATGTCAGAACGTTTTTATTTGAAATAAAAGATAAATATTTAATAAATTGAAGGTTGGGGTGCACATGCATGTACTCTGCAGCATTTCTGTATCAAATTTAAAAAATATATGATTAATAATAAATATTTTCTAATAATACAAAAAGTGAGCGAAAGTTTTACGAAAAACGCTTATAGGACTTATATATAGTTCTGATTGATCGTTAAAGAATTTTGCAATATATCATATCCATAGAAATTACACTACTAATTGTAATATAAAGTCTACGATCATATATCATTTAGAATTTGTCAGTATGACTTCATTGTTGAATATTTCATAATTACATGTAGTAAATTTCCTGATGCAATTCGTGAAATAATGTAAAATATTGAAAAATAAGTATAAAAAATAAGTATTTTCCAAGTCAATTTTTATTATTAAATTTTGACTAACGTACTCATATTCAAAGTCGATATAACAAATTATATAGTATACATTTTTTATGTAAAATGATTTAAACCATACATAAAAAAATTCTAGTGGTCCATTTATTACTGTTGATGTAAATTTCAAATATTAAATTCTAAAATACAATTTTTTTGTTAAGCAATAACAATACTAAAAATATTATTATTTATCTATTAATTTACTCCAAATTATTTTTCATATTTTCTATATCAGTATAAGGTATAATATGAGTAAATATCAATAAGATAAGTAGTTATATTATAAATCAATGCACCATATCAGTAGTTTACTGACGTGTATGATTTTATTAATTATACGGAATTCTCGAGATATTTAGAAGCTCTTGACAGGAATTTCATATAGAACGTTTCCTCACACACACGCACAAACATATATATATATACATATATATATATATATATATATATGAATTGGCTAATAAATTCCGGAACATCTGACATTTATCATTTACTCTACGTTGACAAAATTTGAGGAAATATCTCTGGTGGCAATCTGCAAATTATATGTATATATATATATATATATATATATATATAATTAGAGCGAGTGGAAATTTTAGACCAATAGGCAATTTGCGAATCTGTTTATATAGATCATTTCAAGAAATTCTGCTGTAGAAATTATAGTCCAAAGTGAATTGAAAGTAAATTGAAATTTTCCATAAAGTTATCTCTTTTGAAATATATTTAAATATGAATTTATTTATTTATTTATTTATTTATTCATAAGCAAGCCGTATGTGAATTTAAAAATTTACTTGTCTGCGACTTTTATTGAACTTTACATACTTATAGAATTAATAGTCAAAACAACACTTAAATATTATTAGACTATGAGAGTTAGTTTGCTAGAAATCTAGAAATAAAATAATTCAAATATTTTTCTGATTTCTTACTGATTTTTTAACACTTCAAGCTACTTACTTATAGCTACTTTGCCATAAAAGTGTTAAAAAATCAGCAAAAAAACAGAAAAATATTTGAATTATTTTATTTCTAGATCTTATTCGCTTAATTTAACACTGAAAATATTTATTTATTAGAGAGAATGTAATCAAGTTCAAAGTGCTGTCATATATGGAGAGATTTGATACTACGGCGAGAGCAGCAAAGACTTTGAGGCGGCCGTACGCTCAAACTATCAATTCTACAAAAAAACGGTTTTCTAAAGAATTGTAGGAATTTTTATCTAGTTTAATTCGTACATAGATACTTTTATCGTAGAATGAGCCAGAAAAGAGATATTTTTAAAAAGCTGTTTTTGACGCCATTTTTCCAATATGGCGGCAACTTGCCGTTCAAATTTGAGGTGGCAAAGTTGATTTTCGTAAAGAACACCTCGAAATCTATAAGATTACCAATTTTCAGAATTCCCGGAGTACTGTACCGGCAAAACGACAAAATTACTGGACTAAAGTTCCGGTTGTAAATTCTGTGGCATATACTTGTTTCTCAAGATTTAGTCAAAATAAAAACTCACTTCTGTTCGTATTTAGGAAGATGGTATATAAATCTATAGAAAAAAGCGATCAGTCTATAGTCTATATAAAAAATTAACTAGTGGGGCGCATGGCATCGTGCCTCAAGGCGAATTGCTGGAACTTCCTGTACCAAAAATTTTTTTTTAAAAAAAAATTAACATTTTAAAAAAAAAATTACTCTGAAAAAATTAGATTTTTGAGAAACTAAATTTTTGACAAAAATTTACTTTTATTTGAAAAAAAAGACTTTGATGAAAAATTTATTTTGCAATATTTTGGAAATTTTTAACTTTTTTTTGGAAGCAATCGTACTGCTTTAACTGCATAGAGACAAAATATCGAAGCGCGTAAGCGACGCGTCGCCGTCTAACGGATAAACATTGGTACGAAACCCATAAGAATGTAAACAAAATTTATACTTATTGTTGAAATCTCTATAAAATATGTGATAATTTGATGTGCATATGTCTTATGATCATTTTTGACCGCCAAATGGCATTTTATTCTACTTTTTTTACTAGATCTCTGAAACCGCTAGACCTGCCTTCATGAAAATTTGATCAGTTGTTCATCTTGTTAATACAAGTAAAATGTTTTAATTAATTATTCAAACCGGATGCTCCGTTCCCTTAAAAACTGAGTTACCGTTTTTGGCGCTTTTCGCTCCATATCTGTCGAACGGCTAGACCTGCCTTCGCCAAAAGCTAATCAGCACGTCTCCTTATCAATACGAATCGAATGTTTTTTTAATTATTTAAATCGCTTTATCCGTGTTCCCGAAATCGTCAATGAAAATTTGTATTCGAACACACACACATACATCCATTTTTTCTAAGGTATGCCAAAATGTTTAGAAGGCTTTGAAACGTAAAGATATATACAAATTTCCATTTTTGATTTTTTCAAAATTTTCTATTATTATTAATTGCCCTACAGGAAGTTAAAAAAATGAGAAAATGAGCATTATTAACTTCCCAACATATTACTTAATTTACTAAATGCATATACTTCATTTAGGTAAAAGTTTCAATTACCATTAAACCAAGTTCCGGTTATAAAATCTGTGGTATGTACTTGATTCTCAAGATAGAGTCAAAATAATAAATCATCTCGGTTCGTTTTCGCGAAGATAGTCTCTATATATAAACGACACCCACGTTTATAATTTCTGCAGTTGGGGAATCCGGGGAATTCATTTGTTCGGAAGCAAATACCACAGTTATCGTACATATAATACACCAAATATGCATATATATATATATTATATACATTATATATATATATATATATATATATATATATAATAAATATATATATATAAATAAATATATATATATATATATATATATACATGTATATTTATACATATATATATATATATATATATATATATATATATGTATTAGATAATAAGCTATAGGTAATTTATGATCCTAAAAGCAAAATTTGTTTTGATTTGATTGAACCACATTAGCTAATTGAAAATATCTCCATCAAATGAAAACGCATTTAATTATAAATATCTAAATCATATGAATATCATTATAAACCCATAATCAAATATTTAGCACATGGTTAATCAATATTACAGTCAAATATTTTTCTACATTTGGTAATCTGCAAAAGCAAAGTTATATATATATATATATATATATATATATTTATATATACATGTATATATATATATATATATATATATATATATAGATGTTGAAAGTGTTTAAATTTGATGTTGAAATGTATGATTAATTTCTTGGAGCGCGCAACATCAAGTAACAAATATAAATAAAGTAAAGATTTTTTTAAAACATATTTATTTTTCGATACGTTTCTGCGTAAAATTCTACGTCATCATCTGTGATTTAGAATAGAATTGACGCACATCCAAACCAACTAGCATGCAACTTATACCAGGAAGGCCAGCCGACCAGGCTCAAAAGAAAAATACCTCGAGATTTATTATAGTTTATTTTTTATATT